TCTCTCTCTCTCTCTCTCTCTCTCTCTCTCTCTCTCTCTCTCTCTCTCTTTTTCTTTTTTGTGCCTTAGACACATTAAGGACGAGATGCCTGAAATGTTCTTCCTTGGAATCTATCAACTTTCCATCAATCAGGTCTTTCCTTAAATATCAAAACATCAATGACTATCACATAACCCCATTTATTTCTTTCATAGCTTCATTAACCCCATTTATTTCTTTCATAGCTCTGTCTATAATCTCCTAGATTGTGTATGTACTTACTTTTATCCTCCTTCATGAGATGCAAGCTCTAATGGGCAGACATTTGACTATCTTGTTTATGACTGTTTTACAGGGCTTAGATCAATGCTAGACACATAATAAATGGTCAAAAATATTTGTTAAATGAATAAACAACCAAATTATCTCAGCCTTCTTAATTGCAGGCCCCATCCATCCATTTACTAGCCTACTGTGTGGCATGCCTGGGAGATTGAAAACAGAAAGATTGCCCTTGAAGGCAAGTAGAATCAGCAGAACGGGGAACTGGAGAGGAAGAGTCTGCACACAGGCTGAGAACTGAAGAGAGGGAGCCCAGGAATTCTGTCTCCACTGTGGCCTGTGCCACGGTCTCCAGTAAGTGTTTCTTGATTCATCCACAAACATTTTTGATGGGATCTTGTTACACATTAACAGTGAATTCCAAAACAGCCATAATTGCAGAAAATAATAAAAGGCTAAGGGGAAAAAAACCCTAGGAAGAGAAAGTGAGTTTTCAAGAACAGTTCCTCCTTTCAGCATTTTTCGTGGATTTCAAATAAGTCGGCAATATTTTTATTTTGCACATTTGCTTTGTAAATAAAAATGATCTATTTTCAAAATGGAAATGATTAAACCACACTTTTAAGTTATCATGCTATTTTATTGTGCTCGTAAGTGTAATAATGTTTGTAAGAGAAGCATCTAAAAGCTCCCTCCTTAACTCAATTATCTTCTCCATTCTGCTTAAATTTCCCTGTGAGTAACTAAATGAAGCTTTAAAATGGTAGCAATTAATATAAGTAAGTACTCACTGAGAATTTACTATTTACAAGCATGTGAGCCTTGAGCATTATCTGTAGACTTCTAGAACCTTAAGGACAGGTTCCATGTTCAGTTCATTTTATGTCCCAGGATCCAGAACACAGATTCTTATAAAATATTTGCTGGATAAACACATGCATGATACTATTCTAGGTGCTGTAAAATAGTCAGTGTCTTTAGGGTACATAACAGTTATTCAGTGATTTTTTTTTTAAGATATATATAGGCCAGGGAGGTTGAGGCTGAAGGATTCTAAGTTTGAGGCTAGCCTCAGGAATTTAGTGTGACTGTATCTCTTTTTTATTTTTTTTCAATTTTTTTATCGATTTTAAAAAATAAATGACTGTGGAATGTATTACAATTCTTATTACATATATACAGCACAATTTTTCATATCTCTGGTTGTATATAAAGTATGTTGACACCAATTCGTGTCTTCATATATGTACTTTGGACAATGATGTCTATCACATTCCACCATCCTTGCTAATCCCCTGTCCCCTCCCTTTCCCTCCCACCCCTCTGTCCTATCTAGAATTCATCTATTCCTCCCATGCTCCCCCTCCCTACCCCACTATGAGTCAGCCTCCTTATATCAGAAAAAACATTCAGCACTTTTTTTTTTTTTTGGGATTGGCTAACTTCA